AGTTGGCAAAAGTTTAATGTCTGAGCCTAAATGTCAGCCTTTCCAGTGCCTCGGCCTCCTGACATATGGAAACGCCGTGAATCCTTCAGCGGTGACCATTGTGGCAGGCTTGAGTACAATCTCCATCTCCCCTGTCCGGTACAAAGGCCAGCTTTCATCCCACTGTAGGCAGTCCTGATGTACACCAGATAACCTTATCGATCCACCCATTGGCTTCTACTGCTGACAAATGTCTCAAAGCCTTAATTTCAAAGGGGGATTTCAAAATAAGATTACTGATTTTTATCACCAGGCAGTAGACAGGCGAAGGGTGATAAAACACACCAAAATGGCAGAGGAGGAGCCCTTCAAAAGGACAAATAAAGGGACAATGGAATCCCAGCACGTGTTAGGGCTAGAATGGGCCTGTCGGGCTCAGCGCTGAGGCGGGAGCAGGTAAATAATGTCAAATTGTTAAATGCCCCGAATGAGTTATTGGAGATGGAAGTGTGACTTGGGCATAGATCAGAAGGGTATTGGTGCTTTAAGAGCTAGAGTTTAAGAGAATACTAAATCTACACAAGCAAAAAGAACATTTCAGTTTGGAACATTTCTAAAACATACATCGCCATGCCATCTGTCCACCATTATCAGCTTGAATTCGGCCAAGCCAGTCATTTTCCTACAGTTTCAGTACATTGAGTAGCACAGCGCTCACAAATTGGCTCAAAATATCACTTGGAACATTTAGTGTAATTTCCACAAGGACACACTTTGCTCTAAATATGTGCCATTCTCGAATGCATTCTCAAAATGCTATAGTTAAAGGCAGTGATCCAAATTTATTGGTCACACATTATTCATAACGATGAGTTCATACATGCATTTTACTACTTTCAGACAAAATAGTGGAGTCATGGGAAAGTTAAACACTAGCAACTAAACCACACACTTTCTGATTATCTGACAGTAAAATGCTTTATAATTATACAGTACACCGCAAATTTCAAACTTAGGTGGATATGTAATAGAAATATGTACTATAGGAAAACAAATTTTGCTCAAATCTTGAAAGGAGGATCTTTAAAGGGCCCATATTACTCTTTTTTTTTTTTTTCATCTTTGTTATAACATTGCTTCTTTACTGCAAACATACCTGGAGTTGTGTTTTGTTTCATTCATGTTTAATATACAAATCCTGCATATGTAGGCTGAGTTCTTCTCTCAAACAGACAATACTGTTCCACCTTGTGATGTCATGTGGTAATACAGGAAGTGCGCCACTGTGTTTTTAAACTCTATACACTATCGCTACAATCATTTGAATAATTTCAGCCCTGGAATCTCTGCTGAACGAAAGATGAAAGCTTGAAAACTATTGCTTCATGACATCGAAAGGTAGAACAGAACATTTTGAGCTTTGGAGATGTAGACAGACTCATAAAATGTAACTCAAATCAAAAAAATAACTCTTGGTATGTTTTTGAGGAGGTGACAGCATTATAACATGGCTTAAAGCTTTGTTTGTGTAATATCGGTTCTTTAAGATTTACATTCAGTTATAGTGGTCATTTATTCCCCCACAGTTTTATGTACATAGCGTAACTATAACATACCATAGACGTCTTTGACTTCTGGGCTTCCTCACACCAACCAAACTGCTTGTGTTTAAGGGGGTGTTCACATTCATCCTGGTTTGATCACTGGTTCTGATAAAGATTGATCCTATTCTTGTGCTGGTTTAGTCTTGGTCTAGTCCAGGTTTAGTAATGGATTTCTGCCAATCTTCATATGGTGTAGCTGTAGTGAATGGATGTGAGACTAAACGGCCGTCTCATCTATATGCCAATCTGAACACTATGAATGCAGTTTACTACATGTTTTATACACCTTGGAATTTGTAACACTCAATCTAATCATTCTATTTTTTAGATACCTTGTGAAAATAGTTTATGTTTATAGTTTGTATAGTAGATTAATTTGAATAAAAGTATCCATAGCTCCAAATATTCCACCTTTGTAAAGAAAGCATGCAATCTCTTCTTTTTTTAATTTATTTTTATTTTTTAATTTGAATATGTGACATTTCAAACTAAATCTTTTCATAATAAAAATCCATACAAGAAAATATAATGGAGACTTATTTTCTAATTTTTGGTGTGTTTGTTTTACAAAATGTCACTTCTCATCAATAACTACTACATGCCAGTATGCTGTTTGTTTATGCAGCTCAGAAAAGAATAGGGAATGAGTGATTTGTGATTGCTGTTATTCAAATGTCATCTCTGCATAATTAAAAGCTATTTTGGGCATAATGAGCTGTTGATGTGCATATAATTGTGTATAATTTGTCTTGTGAACTTGTGTTGTTTTAGCATTAGAGCTGCTATGGTGGTTATCAAACACCTCTTTGAACATTTCAGCACATTTTTATTTCATGATTTGGTATTTTGTATAATTCAAAAAGGCTTATTCGTAAAAAATGAACTTAATATTTTATTCATGGTCAATGCCAAATACAGTGTAAAACCAATGTGATGTGAGAAACTCTTTATTGTTTATTGCAGGCATTAAACACTGGCTGAACTACCTCACTTCTGCTTCAGTCCCTGGCACCTGATGTGGCTTATTTACAAGTGCGCTACGAGTGGTACATTAACTGACGCTAATTTGCAGTCCGTTAGGGCATCTGTCACAATGCCATCTGGAAACCATTATGAGCCTCTTCAGAAAGACTCGGGACTCCCATAACTGACAGGCTTTGTTCAGTGTGATGTGCAGTTAAACCAGAGGGTGTGGTGAGCTCGAAAGCTGTACATATGCACCAGGAGTAATGTTAGAAAGAAACATTACTCAAGCTAACAACAGCTACAATGTCATCTCAAACTTTTTTATGATAGTTTTAAGCTCAAAGTTAGTTTAAAGTATGAGAATGCACAGCAGAGTGAAGCAAGTGGACAGAAAGTTAAATCATAGGAAAATTTAAAATGTTGGACTTTTGACTAGGTTCTATACAGTGTTGTGGAGTAACAGATTACATGTACCAGAGTTACGTACAAATTATGAGTAACTGTATTTGGTTACAGTTACTGTTTTAATGAGTGGTAATTGGATTACAGTTACTTTGTTGAAATAAATGGATTACACGGTGGTATTTTCCTGTTTTCACATTTCGGGCTATATCCCCCCCTTTTTTTCTTTTTTCTTTTTGGTAATTCCACTCATTGCCGGACACTAAACTAGGTCTAAACCAGGACTAAACCAGGTCTAAACCAGGGACTAAACCAGGACTAAACCAGGACTAAACCAGGACTAAACCAGGACTATAACCAGGACTAAACCAGGTCTAAACCAGGTCTAAATCAGGTCTAAATCAGGTCTAAAACAGGATTTAACAGGACTAAATCATGCTGCGTGGATGGGTCTCCTTGTCTTCTATCAATAATATTTTTAGTACAGTTAAGTAAAGTCTTATGTTACAATATCCTAGTCTTTGCTTCTCTACAGCAAATCAAGTAATCCAAAGTATTCAGATTACGTTACTCACTTTAAGTAATTTAATGGATTACGTTATAAACTACATTTTGGGGTATGTAATCTGTAATCTGTATGGGAATACATTTGAAAAGTCACCTTCCCAACACTGGTTGTATATTGTAATGACTCAACTTGGACACTATACACTCAATTAAAATTTTACATTAAAGGAACTGTATTTATCCAGTGCTTTTAATAGAGAAAAAAAAGAAACAATCACAACTGAACATGTGTTGCCAGTGTCTTCACCTACATATAGAGAACATGTAGCTCATGTGGAAGTTCAGAACTTCCAAAATTAACTCACTGAGCTGCAGAGGTTGCACTAGCACTGATTAATGTATGGCTGCAAGCAGAGGCAACACTACCATTAGGCAAAAGTAGGCAGCTGCCTAGGGCCACCAAATCTGGAGGGGCCCCCAACCAGCTGCCCTCAGTGCCACTAATGGTCGTCATTTTCTCTTGCTTTTAAACAGTAATCATAAGGGGAAAAAACATATGTAATGGATGTAAACAAAAATGTAATTGTACTAACAAAAAAAAAAAAATACTTTCAGTTCTATTTATCTTGTAGGCTATGTAACTAATAAGACAAGTTTCAAATCCACCATAACTCAAATAAATAGAGATTTGTGTGTCTCAAGAACAATGGGGAAAAACACACAATACATATATTAAAAAAACAAAACTAAACTAAAATGGTGCATTATAGTGAGGGCCCCAAACAAGTTCACCTAGGGCCCCCAAATTGTTAATTACACCACTAACTGCAAATGCTGGGCTTTATGTAGTGAGGATTCAGATCAGAGAGAATCCTTTTAGGCTTAAACTAACTGGATTTCAGCAATGATATCCAATGTTTTTTTTTGTATTTATGAATAAATCAGCATTACAATTGTTATCCACAAAAGCTAAATTGGATTTGAACATGTCTGCCTGTATCTGGTGACACAGATAGGTCAAGTTTATGAAATTTAAATCCAAATCTTACATTCTGCTCTCTTAAATTCCTATGTGAAAATAGTAAGGAATTGCCACATTTTTATACAGCGCTTTCCCACCTTCAAGACACTCAAAGCGCTTTACATCAAGAAACTGCACACACTCACTCATACACCAGTGTTCGCAAAACTGGGAGCGAGAGGAATTATGTCCCGCCCAAGGATACAACAACAGTATTCATCAGTGGAAACAGGATTCAAAATGCCAGCCTTCAGATCAGTGGACACTCTTCTGATTTCTTTTGCTGACTATCAACACCAAAACATAAGGAAATGACCATCATGTAGACAAAATATGTAGTGCAAAATGTAGTGCAAAATACAGCTAAAAATACATGTTTCCAAGAAGGACTCAAGTAAAAGAATAAATACAACCCATGACTACTCCTGTCTCTGTGTGCCTGCCCAGCTACCTCTGAGTCTGAGTGGCCCTGACAGAAGAAGTCGGAGCCACTCAAATATTCATGCAGAGCGTTGACCTACCATAGAAGGAGAGCTTCCCTTTGACTGTGTTCATGCCCCGGGAGTTCTCGGCCACACACTCGTACGTGCCTGCATCCTCCTGCTGGAAGTATGGGATCTCCAGGACACCACTGGCCTTCCTCATGTCCACTTTTCTGGGGAATGGAACGCCGTCTGTCCTCCTCCAGGTGATGGACGGCACCGGGCTGGACATAGGACACGCATTTATTTGTGAGGTTTGCAAAATGTAGGCATAATATGAACATTGGTTAGTGTAACATTATCAGAATCAGAAAAAGTATTATTGTCACTTAACAAAATTCACAAGGAATGTGCTTAGGTGATCTGGTGCAAGATATAATAAAAAAAAATAATACAAAATAAATAGAAAGGCATGCATGTGCACACATCTAAATATACTGTAGACTGTTTGGGCGGGGGTGGGACTAAATGTAATAATTTACAAGATTAAAGAAGACATATTGTGGCTTTGTTATCTATGCCACTCATAGATCGTGGCTCATTATGTTATGTTATGTTACATTTTAAATCTTCATATTGATCTAAGAAAACAAGTCTGCCAATTTCCATGGTTGTAAAATTGCGGAGTCCAGCTTGCCCCTTTATGGTATGTTGCCATAAACGTCATCATAACAAAGTGCCACTCTGCTGGACCATGCTGTCAGGCCCTCCTATGGAAAGCAGTTGCCGTAAAGAGCAACCTCGAGTGAGTAAATTAGAAGGGAAAACGATTCTAACTTGGTTCAAAGCTTTTGCGCAATATGACACATTTAAAGTCAGCTATCCCACCTGTAATATCACATAATTTAAAAAGTTAAAGTGAGTTTATTTCTGGGCACTTGACATATATCACACTTGGTCCTAACAAGAGATATGTTTACTATGTGGTATTGATACTTTGCAGTGACATCATGCTGGGGTATCTCAATAATGCAACGTTCAGCAGTTACCCTGGTGACACAATTCACAAAAGGATTTAAACAACACATTTTCAGGAGCCTGTGATCAATACAAGCGTTCATTTACCTTTTTAGGAGTTTGATTTGTGATTGTGTCCAAATAAAGCTCAGACTAAAGTCTAACAGAGCTTCTGACAGAGTATTGCCTTCAGTAGCATCATGAAATCAGCTGCACAGTATCAATAGTCTAGAACAAGGGTGTCAAACTCATTTTGGTCCGGGGGCCGTATCCAACCTACTTTGATCCCAAAGGGGCCGGAAAAAAAAAAAAAAAATGGCATATATACCCCAAAAATAGCAATAAGTTCAAATATTTGTGCAGAGAAACACAAATCTATTACAGAAATCTTAAACTTTAAGAAAACTGCAATTTCAACACAATGTTTCAACATTAACTTGTATGCAAATAGGAATAAGTTCATTTTTATTGGAAAATCCTGCACTTGCACTTTTCTCATGTTGGACATTTTGCTGATGAGGGTGTCACGGTCAACAGTCAAAACGATCGTCCTTTAAGAGCGTTTGGAAAGACACAAGTCTTCATTTGTGCTGCTCTGGTGGGAGGGGCCACGTACAGAGATGCTGGAGATGCTGCTCTGCTAAGAAGAAAATGACCAATATTTTAATAGAAAATATAATTCAAATATTTTAGTAGAAAATTAGCCGAGGGCCAGATTTTCAGTCTTGGAGGGCCGGATCCAGCCCCCGCGCCTTATGTTTGACACCTGTGGTCTAGAAGATCTACAGTAACATGAAGTCAACACAGCACGAATTCTGACTTAGCTCAATAAGGGGAATAAATTGAACCATTTTATTCCACACAAATATTACAGTGCACATGTAAGATTCATGTATGTTTCACACCAGCCTGCTCTGACAAAAACAACATTTAAAGTGGACTTCCCTCCACCCCTGTGAGCTCTCAAGTCTAATTTCTTGGATGCACAGTCAGTGTCCAAACACAAGCGGTATGTTTTAGGCAGGCAAAATGGGGAGGGGCATTAATAAAACATGGACGTGCTTCTCTAGTCAAATTTGCTCTTTTATATTGCAGTGAGCATGCTGGGATGGACGCGGAGCACTTACTTTCCCAGGGCGAAACATTCCAGCTTCACCGTGGATCCTTTGGCTACATGCACCACCTCAGGAAACTGCACCTCGATCTTGGGCTCATACTCTCCCATCACTCCTGAAAAACAAGAGCAAATGAGAGCTCAAGCTGTTGGGTTAGCTTGATGTAAACAAGAAATATGCATGACTCACAGTGTGTAAACAGCTGCTCAAATGGTTAAAATCAAAAGCTGTGTGAGTACAAAGATTGTATTAAGGTAATGTTATGAAGATCCCATAGTGAAGGAATTATATTTACACTTTATTTTTTCATAAAGTGGCTGTACCCAGTTATCAGTGTAGTTCAGTCAAATTGTTTGTGCAGATATATATATATATATATATATATATATATATATATATATATATATATATATATATATATATAAACAGCTGTTAGAATTTAAAAACAAAAAAAAAAAAAAAACTGTTGTGTGCTATGTCTTATTATTAAAGTATTTATTGTCCAAAAAGCAGGAAGTGTGCATTTCACATACTTAGTTAGCTTTAATGTGATGGCAAAACTGTATGCAGATCATCTGTTGTGGTGAATAATAAAAATGCGAAGATGTGTTAGGAAAGTGAGGAATAATTGCAAAATTTTAGAAGGAACTAGTTCTGCTTTTCATGTTTTTAATACACATGCTTAAAGCCACATTTCTGACACTGACTGAAAGATTACTACTTGGAAGGAAACAGACAACCATCATACTGATGTTGAATAAAAACAGACTCCAACTGCAGGTATTCATATAGTGTGAGCTTTTACATTGAGATGTGATCCATCGTCTCAGCTGTGAACCAGAAAAGCCTCTGGGAACTGTCTCTGTCTGCTAAGCATCACTTTGACGAGAGCCATAGCACTAAAGCTGCATGGACTATTGTGCAGTGCATGCAAAATACAGTACTCAGTGGAAATACTTCAGCAGCACATAAAACACATGAATATTAAAACTGTACGAGATGGATGATTCAAAACATTCATTTACAGCGAGGCTCCTCACTTCCTATTTTTACTAACCAGGCAAATAACTTGGGACCCCCACAGCAAAATTAAATTGATGTCTTTAACAAATGGAAAACAAATTTAAAATCTAGCTTAATGTTTATTTGAATAGTTTATTTGAATATAGTCCCATGACTATTGAAAATCCAACCTAAGAGTATCGCCACTTTAGAAACCCGAGATGTACTGAATTGTTTCAAATATGGTTTTAAAAGTGCTTCTATAAAGGCAAATAAGAACAAAATTGTTGCAAATGTTACAATTAGAGAATACCAACCAAGTAAATGATAAACTAACAGCACACAATTTTGAGTACAAGTTAAAAAATTCCTTATTGTGACAGTTTTTTGGCATCCTAATAAAAAATGAGAACTCCAGCCATTTTCTTTACTTATTATATTTTTAGATAAACTGCGGGTTCTATACTCTCGCCAAATGTCTTGCAGACTGAGTAAAACAGCACAAATCTCTTATCCATCCTTTGTTTGCGCCCCTGTTTGCCTAAAAGAAGCCAGTGTTATACTCTTGTCCTCTCTCTGGCAGCACAATGAATGCACTTTAAGCTGTTTTCATCCTCCCCTGGAACAGTGCCCCCCCTTCCCCTTCCTTCACCGCTGTAACTCACGTCTGCTGCACACAAATAGCTGAGGATATGAAGCACGCAGGCCAATTTGGTGTGTCTGACATGGTGAGGCATGTGCAATAGGGATGGTCCATGAGAGAGCAGCGTGAAAGCTAATTCTGATCCTTATCACAAGTGTCTGGCGCTGGATGTGAACTCTGCACGATCTGCCTGGAGGAGACAGGGGGAAGTGGACGGGTAATTGTCCCAGAGCAGAGCCGTATGGAGGGGACACCTGCTGAATCACATGACACTGTGTAACTGAGCAGAGGCAATGAGGAAAAAAACTATACAACATGAGTGTGATAGGAGCAGAGATAACATTTTTACATTGTTCAATTTGTCACATGTATGTGTACAAAATGGTACGTCTGTCATTATATTTACGATATTGACTCATTTTCGTTTTAGCTTTAGAATGATCTTGGGCTGTATCAGAACAAGCATAACAAGAGAAAATAAAGGGTGTTTTTTTATTCTAATAGTGGTATCATATATACACTATACTATTCATTATTATTGAAATAGGAGTTTGAAATTTTCATATCAAGTCTATTCCTTAGTATCAAAATAAGAGTTTTATATATTAGTATTGTGACAACTCTATCACTATAACTAATTAATCCCTGGCCTGATACTAATTTCTAACCCTACTATAACAGAATCATTCTTAATATTCTTTTTCAAGTCTCTTCACGTTTAAGGATATAAATAATGTAGCCAAATAAATGAAACAAAATCTCAATCTGACTTATCTCTATAATGTGGGTTGGTAGTGTAGAAAAGTTGCGTGGTCTTGATATATTTATATTTATGTTCTTACAGTAATCTCACTTGATATTTTAGATTCCATCAAGATGTGAAAAAGTGTTCCAGCAGTTAGGATAAGATTAAGTAGCAGTGCTGTTACTTAGTGTGCGTTCACACTTGGTTTGGTCCTTGTTTGAGACCAGTTTTGTCCTGATAGAGAATTGGTTTGGTACTGTTCCAGTCCAGTTTAAATTGTGGCTTTAGTCCAAGTTTGGTCCCAGTTGATGTAACGTAAGTGTGAACACAACCTTAGTGGCACCACAAGATGGGCCAAAGATTTTGTACTGCAGTCAGATCAACATTTCCTCTACATCTTATATTAAACTGTGTCAGTATTATAATTCTGATTTAAATTAATGGTAGATAAATGATAAAGCTCTTAATCCTGTAATACGGCCACATCTTAACCACAAAACATCAGAGGACAAATAAACGCATAAATAAATGGCGCTCCATCTTGTATTTGCTGTATTACATTACAGTGACATAATGTGAAGCAGGCTCACACTCAGAGCTGCATTAGACGAGCTGCTGACACTGACCTTTGTGTGTACAGCTCTGATAAGGCCAGGCCAAGAGCAGCCCCGCCGTATGCAAAAGGACACCGCGGAATTAGCAAAAGCGGACATAATTAACCTTTAGATTTCCCTCCAGCTCCTTAAATCTACTTGTCCTACTTCTCAGATTTCAAGATAGGATTACAATGATGTGGAGAATGCATAATTTATAGGTGAATTCATTTTAATAAAAAATCTAGTCTTGTAATAAGTTGTGTTGTCATGGTGTTGTGAAATAGTAATGGCGTAGGGATAGAGTGAGATACTGACTGCAGTAGAAACTAGACAGATATTCACAACACGTACTCAGGATTCTGATAAATATCGGGGGCCTAAAATTATGCAGATTGCAATTACTGGGTCCATTCAACCTGAGGAAAAGCTGATGCAAAGTCCAGTATATAAATGTGAGTATAATAATGTACTCAAAAGTATATGATTTTGAAATAAGGTAGTGGCCCATAATTACTCAAGCATGTGAGCATTCTGATCTATAATTTATACCTGAGAGCATAATTCTGACACATCCAATGAATGCACTGCAAAACTTTTTAAACACTTTTAGACTCACAGTGGGAACATTAACCAACAAGTTTGCTCAAAAAACAGAACAGTTACTCAAGTGCAAGTAAAAGTAGTAGTCAGAAAATTACTCAAAACTACAGTTATACAACTCCAGAGGTGAGTAGTACTTAAAGGTTGTATGGAGGATTTATTATTATTTATTTTTTGTTTCAAGTTGTCAATGATAGATTATAGAGATGCAGTAGCCTTGTAATTATGATGACCAAAAAAAAGAGAATAAAAATTCATCAACTCTGGACGTGGTGGGGCTAAACATTTGCCAATAGATAACGACACTGCCTCGTTATCTGTGAGCTGACAGGCTGTCAATCAATCTCCCTGCGTTTCTAGTGTAACTGACTTGCCTGCGCGCCGCCGGTACATGGTTTACGTACGTCTGTCATGCAGTCCACAGACGCAAGCCGCACAGACGCTGTTTACTCCACCACCGCAACAGTTCTTAGCGGCTTTTTTTGACCTATATCTTCCTCGCAGTTTGCACAAAGTTTGTTGCAGTGGCGACAAGAATCCAGGAGCAGTTCGCCGCAAAAGAAAGTCCGTTTTTGAGGTCGCTGAAAGAAGAAGACAAGGGGAAAAGCAGCGAAGCCAAACTAAGGTGATTCTTGAAGATTCATTCCAGCGATGGCGCGACTGAAGCAGACGAAGGGTCTAAAGACTGACGCACTGGTCGACAAATTACTCCTGGACAGGAAACTTCTGCTTATTATGAAAACGTACTTTATTTCCATCTAGTCAAACGTTTTTCAGGACACGAAAGCGATATCCCAAGTCTGAAAACGTAATTTTCAAGGCAAAGAAAGAGTCCGCTTGCTGCTGCGTGTTGTAGCTAGTTCATTCGCACGGAATCTCCACGCAACCTTCTCTGCTCCCTTTCCTTCTCCTGTCCCCGCTGCCCGTTCCGCTCTTCCCCCTGCTCCTCACTTCTCCGGGCACGGAATCTCCGCGCACCGCTCCCCTCTCCTCTCTCCTCTCCTCTCTCCCTGCTCCGCTCTTCTCCCTGCTCCTCACTTCTCGTCCGCGCACGAAATGTCCGCGCACCCGCTCCCCCCGCTCCTCACTTCTCCGTCTTGCCTAATCAACACTGTAGTTAGTTGTTTACAAGTCATGTGCAGCGCACCGGCTGTAAACAAACCTGTTTCTGGCGTAAAGAGGAGGCGGGAGGAGACGTTTCTACGTAGGAGCTGTAGGGGAGGGGGTGTGGTTTGAAAAAGGACAAACAGTCGCTGGATTTCTCGTTCCTTGGAAAATCCTCTATACAACCTTTAAAATAAACTTGTAAAAGATGTTACAGTGTAAGAGTACTTGAGTAAACATTTTTATTCTTCCCACTGTGAGCAAGTTTACAAGTGACAAATGTTTTATTTGGCAATAGAACATGATTTGAACATTTGTAGTCTATCCTTTGCGCAGTATTTGTTTTATAATTCCAGCATCAACTTAAATTATGAATCAGATGTTTTATTTGGACAATTGCTCTTGCAGTTACTAATACTAGAGTAGCATTTTCCCCAAGTATGTTTTATTCACATACTTGAATAATTTCTTGAACCTCTACTTTGTACTTCAACTTGAGGAATATTGTGAAGTAACGCTACTCTTCTTTGAGCACAACATTTGGTTACTCTACCCACACCTGCTGGTTACTTACAGACTGTTAGTGCTTGCAGTAGAACAAAAGGCCTTCTAATTTAAAGATCTATGAACATTGAATTGTGTGTGTTGTGTGTCTGTAGTTCGTTAGTGGATGATTAACTGACCGTCACTGCGCAGGACCAGCGGAGTGGGCGGGCCCTGCACTCTGCTCTTGGTGACAGTGTTGGTGACCACACAGGTGTAATTGCCCACATCAGAGGGCTCCACCATGGCGATGTACAGGTTCCCCGTTTCCTGAGAGATGAAGCGCCGTGTGTCCTGCTTCACAAAGGTGGGGTATTCGTTAAAAATCCAGGAGAATACCAGATCTGAGGAAGGAAGAACAAGAAGAGAGATATGAGTTTCAATGCTAATGGTAGAACTAATTATCTCCTCTTATTAAGAACCTCCATATCTGGATTGGCATTGATGTGGACAAAGCTTTCATGCTGCTTAATTACTGTCTGACAAGGATCAAAAACAGGAGGCATCACAGGCTGGTCTTCACAAAATCCATGGATTAATTATGTAAGTGATACAAATCTGAAACTAAAACGTACCTCTCAGGAAATATTAAATAAAATAGCTCGAGAAATGTGTAAAAGTGTATACGGTTTAGAAATATATAGCTTGGCTTGTGATCTAAGTGGCTATACAGTCGTACAAGTGTGTGACCATCTAGCCATTCAATCAGCACATTCATTCCCTTTAAGAGTTACACGCTTTGAGTTGCAAAAATCACAAGAACATAATAATAATAATAATAATAATAATCATAATCATATGTTAGTCTTATATAGCGCAGGTGTAAGTCTAAACTTAGGGTTAGCTGAAATATTCTGCCCAATGCTCAGCCCACAGACCTACACCATCCATGCTCCGAGATGACAATTTTCCATAGATATACAAAAACATGATACAACACTGGACACCTCAACTTGACAAACCTGACCTCGTAGTAAGTTTCAGTAGTGAGATGCCTGATGATTGTCTTGTGATAGCGCTCTGAAGGGGGAAAGATTTGACAAGGGAGCAAAGGGAGCGTCAAGAATGAAACTAATAAAACGTTAATACATTGTGTTCGCTGAATATAGCATTTTCACAATAATTAAAGGTAAGGTGGTCCGATGTGTTAGCAGTTCATACCCAATGCTACTCAGCCCTGTCCACCCGAGACTCAAGTCAAGTCAAGGAGAAGACCAATAACTGAGGACCCTAACCACTACCCCCAACCATATACAATATACATTCAATCTATAAATACCCAGTGTTGGGGAGTAACAGATTACATGTACCGGCATTACGTAATCAGAGTACAAATTCTGGGTAACTGTATTCAGTTACAGTTACTGTTTCAGTGAGTGGTAATTGGATTACAGTTATTTTGTTAAAATAAATGGATTACACGGCGGTATTTTCCTGTTTTCATATTTTGGGCTAAACCAGGACTAAAACCAGGACTAAAGCAGGACTAAACCAGGTCTAAACCAGGACTAAAACCAGGACTAAACCAGCACTAAACCAGGATTAAACCCGGACTAAATCCAAGACTAAACCCAGGACTAAACCAGAACTAAAACCAGCACTAAACAAGGACTAAAGCAGGTCTAAAACCAGGACTAAACCAGGTCTAAAACCAGAACTAAACTAATACAATATGACACTAACAGTAGGTGGACATAACTGAAGTCAGCAGTGATCTCATATAAAAATCATTTCTCTATCAATAATATTTTTAATATGGTTAAATAAAGACTGAACAAACATGAACTTTGAGAATGTGGTTGCTACATTCATGTAGTTTTAAAAAAACATGACAATATCAAGTAATCCAAACTATTCAGATTACGTTACTTACTTTAAGTAATTTAATGGATTACGTTACAAACTACATTTTGGGGTATGTAATCTGTAATCTGTAGGGGAATACATTTTAAAAGTCACCTTCCCAACACTATAAATATCAGATCATCATTATGTATATCAGAACAGTCCATGCTTTTCACTGAGATAAACACATCTCCAAAAGTATCTCTATGGGACCGAACAGGCTAGATCATGTTCCAGTACTTCTGAAGTGGTACTGGGTACGCAGTAACTGACAGCTCCTAACCACTGTCCCACTGAGCTTAATCAAACTCCAGCACTTGTTAGTGGACTAGCAATTAACCAAAACAGTGGTGGTGGAGGCCCTGGTAGTGTGGCGTTTATCTCTGCGTGTGTCCCCTCTCCCGCTGGCTCACTGTAAAACCAGAGCTTGGCTTTGGACCACAGCTCAGAGTAATGGCACCATGGAGCTCCACCGGGGCTCCTGCACTGGGAGGCAGGATAAGGCATGTTTGTTTGTTCCCCCACGCTGCTCTTTTGGCTGCACACCTGCTCTCCGCTTCTGTGCTTCAAACCCGTGTCACTGCACAGTACAATACCACTGAGAGTGCAAATATAATGAGATGTCTCCTGCAGCTGGCCAAACAGTCTTCAAAATCATCCGCGGCATTGATTTTATGGGTTATACAATGTGGTGTCGTGTAAAAGCAGGACATTTAGAGGGAAAAGGACGAAATACATACCGCAGGGATCGCTTTACCAATGTGAAGATACAACATGACCAGAAACATTATATAAACTATTAGTCGTCATGGTTTTCATGGCTGATTTCTTTCACTATAGTTTTCACCAGTCTGTCACGGTGGACGCTCATTCACACATTTGTGCAAATGTGCTCAAAGGCGAGGAGGGTTAAGTTTCTTGCCCAAGGTCTAGGGGTGTGCAAAAATATCGGAATATCGATATATCATACCGGTTAATGTGATGATACAGTATCAATATCGTGGGCTGCTCTATCAATATATCAGCAAGAGTATTTTTACATGTGTTTGACAAAATTATTTTGTTACAGAGCTACAGTTTTGTTGCTTGTGGAGTGAAAGGAAACTCATTTATTCAACACATTTGACATTTTCACTGTTTCGATGATTAAAATGTTTGTGTTTCATATGAACTTTGCACAAGAAGTGGTTTAACAAAGACTTTTAGTATCACAGCCACGATTTAGACTTTATTTTTTATCGAACCGTATCGAATCGATTTGAAATATATCATATCAAATCGAAAGTGCACTGTATCGAGATATGTATCGTATCATGGCCTGTGTATCGAGGTATGTATCATATCGGCAACTTCTTAATGATACCCAGCCCTACCAAGGACACTACAAAAAAAAAATAATCATGAAATTTTTAGAAACAAAACCAAGTCATTTCAATCGAATCTATACCGCCATTCTACCTCCATGGAGACCAAACCAGACCAAGTTACAAGTCAGATCTGTGGAGAAGGAACCCCACTCACAGTCAGAGTCCCTGTTTCTCTAGGTATTTTTGAGCAATAAAACCACCTGTAATTTAATAAATGTAAGATAGAGCCATATACGCCCCATCCACACTGGTATGTATTTGAGTCATTTGGAAAACTGCTCCAGAGATGGAACAATCTGGTGCTGAGTACGGATCTGATCGGGCGCTGTGTGGACGCCTGAAAATGCTGATACACTGATGTAGGTCTATGCACCGCGAAGTAATTCACCACCAAAACACTATGAGGCTAGAATATATGTCCATTCATATATACGGTCTATGCGTATGACCTGCAGATGTATAATCTCTGAAAAGTTTAATATGAACCATCTCCAGCATGACAGAAGCAAAGAACAGACTCACCATTAGCAGAACACCCCTCTGTCACAGAAAGAACACTCATATTCCACTTAGTCGTGTCCTTTAGTCCGACAGAAGCTGAACCGCATCAGTGCACAATAGCGAGCTGTTTTTTGAGCGCTCAGTTTATGCAAATTAGCCATGCAGTTTTAAGTTTCATTTCAGTAAAACATAAACAAATATGCTCAAAGCTGTGTGGGTAGGGAAGGCTTGCGGACACAGAAACGACGTGTCTGGACACAAATCGTTTCCAATACAGTGATACAGTGATATGGTGATTCGTTTCAGTGTAAATGTAGCCCTAGTTCATAGTGTGTTCCATAGTGTGAAACATTTCAGGCAGAGCAAATGGCATATCCATAGAAAATATCAGGTGATGGACCCCCAATCAAAAAGTTACATAATGTACCTTTAAAGGGTGAATGAAAGTGAATCAAAAGATTTCACTATGGTTCCAGTGTCAGTAATTGTGAATAACCGATGGTGAATAATACATGTCACCACAGGCCTCAAATTCTATTCTATAAAGTGCAAAAATACTATGTTAGCAGTGTTGGGGAGTAACAGATTACATGTACCAGAGTTATGTAATCAGAGTACAAATTATGAGTAACTGTATTCAGTTACAGTTACTGTTTCCATGAGTTGTAATTGGATTACAGTTACTTTGTTGAAGTAAATGGATTACACGGTGGTATTTTCCTGTTTTAACATTTTGGGCTATATCCCCCCTTTTTTTTTCTTTTCTTTTTTTTTTCGGTAATTCCACTCATGGTCGGAAACTAAACAAGGTCTAAACTAGATCTAAACCAGGTCTAAACCAGGTCGAAAACCAGGACAAAAACCAGGACTAAACCAGGACTAAACCAGGACTAAACCAGGACTAAACCAGGTCTAAACCAGGACTAAACCAGGACTAAACCAGGACTAAACCATGCTGGGTGGACGTGTCTCCTCGTCTTCTATCAATAATATCTTTAATACGGTTCAGTGAAGTCTGGGCTTTTAATTTTCTTTTAGCAGACTAAACATCTTTCGTTACGATATCCTAGTCTTTCAAGTCAATAATCAAGTAATCCAAAGTATTCAGATTACGTTACTCACTTTAAGTAATTTAATGGATTACGTTACAAACTACATTCTGGAGTATGTAATCTGTAATCTGAAGGGGAATACATTTTAAAAGTAACCTTCTCAACACTGTATGTTAGTGAGCATCATATAAATGTATTCACAGCTAGGATCATAAATTCAGGTGGCATTTAGAAACAGATATTACCAACTGTTTCATATTGATGGAGTCCCCCGAAGGCGAGACATTGTTTGTGCGTATTACAAAGTGACTCATTTCATTTGAAAGAAAGATTTGCAGTCAGCGGCTGTCCGTGGAGAGTCCAATGTGGTTTGAGCCCGGGTTAAAGATCACTTTGCACAAGTCACAATGAATGAAGCCATCTCACTTTCAAGAACCATGAGAGAGGCTTCAAAGAGCACAGCCTAAGTGAATATTCTGTCTCCTGCACAGCCCACCACAGCTGGCCTCCTCTGCCCAGAATAATGTCAGATAAAGAGTGCTTGAAGGCACGAGCAACCGGCAACAACAGCAGAGGGGC